CACTATTTAGTTATTAATATTTATAATTTTCAGAAATTTTTTATTAATATTTATTTTTTATTTCAATATTTTCATTAATTAGTTATTAATTTTTAAAATTACTGAAATTGCAAAAAGTAAATTAATTTTGACTGAAATTAATTTTCCACTAAAATTTATTGAAATTTTTAGTAATATTCAAAATTGATATTTTTCAAAATGTTGAAAATTAATTTTTCAGTAATTATTGAAAAATTTCAGCAACTTATTAAAACCTTTGAACAATAATTGAAAACAATTTTCATATGTTTATTAAAAACATTCAATAATACCAAATTATTTTAATATTTTCAGTAATTAGTTATTGATATTTTTCAAATTATTGAAAACTAATGTTTCAGTAATTATTGAAAAATTTCAATAACTTTTAGTGGAAACTAATTTCAGTAAAATTCAATTACTGAAAATTAATAATTGAAAACTATTGAACATTTACTGATAAATTTCTAAACTATTGTATGTTTTTCAATATAATTACTGAAAAGTAATATTGAAAATTTTCTAATTCAGATATTTATTAAAAATTTTCTGTGATATCAATTTATTTTAATATTTTCAGTAATTAATTATTGATATTTTTTAAAATTTGAAATCGCAAATATGTATTGATATATTTATATATTCATTGAAAAATTTTAGTGGAAAATTAATTTCAGTAAAAATCAATGATTCATATTTATTAGAGATATATTATTAATTATTCAAATCAGTAATTTACCTGAAATTAAAATATTCTTATTTAACACTAAATTATTATTATAAATTTTCAGTAGTTTACCTGAAATTACTTTAATGTATTTTTAAAATTTAATTATTGATTTTCAGTAATTTAATTTATGTATTTTTATGAAATGATCAATCAATATTTATCAAGGGTTAATTAATTATTTGGATGAATAATTACTGAAAAAGTAATAATTAAAATTTATTGAATTATTATTGATTGTGGACCATTTATGTATTTGGTGATATCACTTGAATGTGGTGCTTAAATTGTGGTGAATTTATATCTTAATTTTGAATTATTTGTGTATTTTGTGGTTTATTTTGTTTAGAAATATTTAGTGTTTAAATTATGGTGAAATATTGTAATTTAATGATACTTAGTGCTTAAATTGTGCTGCATTTTGTGGGTAGTTTACTAAAAATTAGTAATCCTAGGCCACAACCCAGTCTGCCTTAACCCAAGCCTAGACATGGGCCCACCACTCCGCCCTGGTCCAGCCCATGCATAGGCCACATAGGCCACTACTTAAGCCACCTGAGCCAGGCCCAAACATAGTTCATTATTCATACAATTTATAGGAATTTGCCATGTTATTAACACTCCATATATCCTTTTGATCATTTTTATTATCAAATTGGACATCTAAATGATCTAAGAGTTGGTTGAAGTTTTCAAAATAAGCTTATTCTGGTTTAGCTTAAGGCCGCCATGTTTGGGAATGCTTAAGTTAAAAATAAGTGCTTATTCGAATAAACACTAACTTGCATTTGGCACCCAACTTTTTCAATTGCTTATTTTATTTTATATTGTGTGTTTGGTAATCTTTTTCTCTTATAAGCACTTAAATAAGCATTTGTGACTATTTTGTCCTTCATTTTCTTTCAAAATTTCAAAATATACCCATTGAGTACTTTCATAAAAGTGCTTTAAAAGTGCTTTCATAAAAGTTGAAAATAAACTTTCGTAAAAGTGCTTTCATAAAATTTCTTTTTTAAAAGTACTTTCTTAAAAGTGAATTTGTAAAAGTACTTTTTATAAAAGTGCTTTCATAAAAGTACTTTTACTTTTATGAAAGTACTTATGTAAAAATGTTTTCAGAAAAGTACTTTTATAAAATTCAAATAGGGATAATTTTATAAGTAGTATTTTAAAATTCAACTAGGGATACGTGCTTATTGTATAAGCACTTAAAAAAAACAGAAAATTTGGGCTTAAAAAATAAGCTCTTATTTTTAAAATAAGCACTTATTTTGGGTTTATATCCTAAATACCAATAAGTGCTTAATGACCGAAATAAATACTTATTTTAAATAAACATGACCTAAGACAATTTTTGATGCAGTCGGTAGATTATTAAAAATTGTCAAGGAGGCCCCAAAATCAAGTAATAGCATCTAGATCTTGTTGGGTAATTGGATTAGCTCAACTTTGACTGTGTTTGGTTTGAAAGAAAAGGTAGGAAAAGGAAGGGATTCGTCCTTTCATTGAAACCAAACACAGCCTAGGTAAAAGCATCCAAGAAGCACTGCAGAAGTGCTCATTGCTAACTCATTCACAACAAACAATGGAGAAAAGCTACTCACTGAACACTGACAATTTTTTCTATTTTTTTTGTTTTATTCTTTGCAAAAGTCCAAATAAGATAATATTTTTTTTTCGAAAGTGCAAATGAGATAAGATAGATTGTTTACTTTACGCAACTCTTTGCATTAATTGGTTCTTTAATAGTTTAATGTTTAGTCCTTTCATGAGTCCCACCCTATCAATATGGCAAATAAAATAAAACTCGTTGTCTACTAGCATTACCGCCGTTGTTGGGTAGATGCGTCCAACGGTCCAACACTCCAACTCGCAAGAAAGTCCGGTCGTTTTCTGGGTTCTGGCCGATCGACCATGTATCGACAGTGTGGGTACGTACATTATTACTACAGTTCTAATTGGCTGGACATATATGCAACCCCAGATTTTCGTTCCAACAACAACTTGAATTTGTTTACAACACAAGAATCCACAGACTGGATTTTCTTTTTCAGAATTCAGGTTCTAGTTTGATAATGTCAACAACTTATTAAATGCCGTCCAATTAGGTTTGCCTAATATGCACCACCAAACCGTCCAAATTGATTGGGACACAGCCAGCACCTTAACCTTATTTTAACCAAATTTATGGGGTAAAATTGATTTTTAGCAAATCAGATTGAAAATTATTGCTTTCTGTCTTTTTGATGGAGTCTGTATCAGGTAATAATTACAAATATGAAAAAAAAATTAATAATTTTATTTATTTATCAAGGCCTGAACTCATGGTGAGTAAGTGGTGATGTAATTTTTAATTAACACCATTTATAATATTTCATAGGGCCCACAAGAGCCCTATTGATTCTCCTTATGCATATCTAAGTATCAGTTTGGGAGGGCTGTTGGGATACAACTTCTGGCGTTCTGAGTTGAGTCCCACGTGAAATTCTCTTAAGTTGTGTTTGGTAAAAATTTGAAAAGTCAATATACATGAACATACCAAAGGCCATAATTGTGCCTATAACAAGCAACTACTCTGACTAACTTATCAAGAAGTAACCACTCAGACGAGCTTATCAAGAACGCTCAACCAGAGCGGCTCGGTTAAATTGATAAAGCATATCACCCCAAACATAGAAGTCCTCCCAAACGAGGCCCTGTGCCAAAGTTCCAAATTCCAATATCTAAAAGTTCCTAGTTCCTACTACTCCACATGTCCAAATTAAACCTTTAGCATCCTTCCCTTCTGAAGTAATTAAAATATTCAACATTTAGCATCCTTTCTTACAAAAAATGGTCCAATAAACCGTAATTGGGAATGTAACTGGGTTGCATTTGGATTGTATCCAGCCACATCCTAAGTTTGACTAAATTAACAAAATCCCTCTGCTAAATTAATCCACATAGAATCCAATTAGACCCAGAGTGTTTTAACCAGCAATCTGTATCTAATTGGATTTTCAATCCGGTCTGTCTGATCGACCATCTTAAAAAATATTGTACTTAAAAAAGCTTTTATCAATTCGAATACCACGTGAATTTGGATAAATACTGGTTGATATTTTTTAATTTTATTCGGCTTGTTTGGGTTGTAAGTCAGATTTGAACTGATCTGCCTTGCTTTTCAAGATTTGACTTCACTCATTGTAATTAATTAACACTAGCGGAGGGGCCCTTGTTCTCAGGGGCTGGATTGGAATAAAATTAGCATACCGTACATGTTCGAATAAAATTCACAGTAAAATAAATATAGTGAAAATCTAAAATCATAAAAAATTATAGTTTTCGAACGGTTATTGACCCGGATAGACGAATATTTCGGCCTGGAAACCGTTTAGGCAACCGGTTTCGTTTTATCCCAATCCCAGTCCTAATCCCTAGCAAAAAACTATTGAATTGGTCAATGATCCATTGACCTGACTGATCGAACAATCAATCTGTTAACCCGTTCAATGTTTTTTGGCCACTTTTTATTTTTTTAATTTGGAATCATCCAAGCAACCGGTTTCGTTTTATCCCAATCCTGATCCTTGGTAAAAAACCGTTGAATCTGTCGACGACCCATTGACCTGGGTTAACAAGCCGTTGACCCGTTTAATGGTTTTTAGCCGTTTTTTTTATTTTTTATTTTTAATTTTTGTTGTCAGAACGGGCCATCCGTTTGAAATAGACGGTTGAACTATCGACCCAAAAACCGGTGGCCAGAATGGTTCCATTTTCAAGTCGTATGATCACACGCTCGAATGGCATAAAATGTATGATAGTATGATACTGCTTAATGGACCTCACACACTCATTTTTTTGCCTGTAATTTTTGTTGTCATAACATGTCGTTCGTTCGAACCGGATGGTCAAACCGTTGACCCAAAACTGGTGGCTAGAACGGTTTCATAATATTTTACCTTTAATTTTTATTACAAACCATCTATTTGAATCAGATAGTCAAACCGTTAATCCAAAAACAGGTGGCAGATAAGATATATAAGATTATATATATATATATATATATATCTTATAATCTTATAAACCAGTACAATTTGAGAATTTTCAATGAAAAATTTTTATTGAACCGTTCCTTCTTGTAATTTGAGAACCGTCGACCCGAACTGTGTCCGTTATTGTAATTTGAGAACTGTCAACCCGTACCGTATCCATTTTTATGATAAAAATATAGAGTATCATCTAACTTGATCTAGCTATATGTGGGTGAGGCCTGTGGTGTGAATATGATAGACCATTGATACATACTTGAGTTATGAAAATATTTCTTAATTTTACGCGTACAAGAGACTAGACTAGCTATAGAGAGAATTGAAGCCATTAATTTATTTTCTCCCAAAATTGCTTTTGCCATGTTTCGACCTGGCTGGTGAGATTTTCTTTGTGCTTCAAAAAAGCTTCAAGAGCTGGAGGATCAAAAGGAGGCGGTAGGGTGCATGGGGTTTTATTGGCAGGACCCTTCACCATGGACTCCATCATGAACTCTTTGTTTAGTCCAGCTGCAGGGCAAGCCATCACCTCCGAACAGAGCTCGACGGCGTGTGGAGGAATAGTGGGTTTGTATGTCAGTAGCTTCGAGTACTGACTCAGCAGATGAAACATGTAGTCATACACAAACTCCATCCTGATCTGCTCTTGAATGAATTTGCTCCCCGCCTTCCCAATGGCCTGTGCCTGCAATTAATAATAAGATTGCACAGGTGAACAATATAGTAATTAATGGAGCTGCTATATATTAATGAAAAATAATAAGCTATATATGGACGTTGTGACCTGTTTTTTGTGTTTGTTGCCCCAGTCGACGGCAAACTTGATAGATCGACACTTGTCGGTGTCCTTGATGGGCCAGTAGTGATGAATCGGCAATAAACTTCTTGTGAAGAAATCGTAGTAATGAGGCGTCACTAGTAGCGTAGGAGAATCACAAGCTAGGATATATTTTTCACTGACGGACCAGGCCCTTCCTTCAATGTAGACCTTGTATCTGTATGCAAATATTGCAAATTAATATGAAATATGATGGTTCAGTTAAGAAAGTTAGAAACTAAGTAATTGGAATGGTCATTGATCATCAGAATATCTCTCTCCCACCCACCGGTGAGTGCATTGATCTGCCAAATTTGAATGCTTGTAACCTTGCTTGGATGCACGTTCCCAGTCCTGGAAGCAAACAATTAAGAATCAAATGGTGATAAATGTAGGCAAGTAAAGAAAGAAGAGCGATCGAGTTTACCTATAGTACTCACCTGCACATAAAAGCGTGCATTCCAATCCTGATGCTTGTTGTGGTTGCATTTGAGGAGGTCTTGCCTACCCGGGGACACATAGGGATTCCCTTTCCAGTAGGCGTAACGTTGCCTTTGCACCCACTTGATCCTCTGGTTGCCTTGTTTCAGGTCTTTCAGCAGAGGCACCCATGGCTTTATGTTGATTTCAGGCCTGCACACCCAAATTAAAACTACTTCCTAATTAACAAGTGGTCCGTCTCCTTGCTAGTTGGGCTTTTGCTAAAACTGAGAATTAATCATGGCCTTATATGTATTGCAGTACATTTCAGAATTCTAAAATTACACCCCTCTATCAATCGCATCCTATCCCTAGATTTAGTATCAATTCACTATCAAAATTCATCCCACCATCTGTACGGTTGTCATTTTCTCAAGTTTTTTTTTTTTTTTTTTTACTTTTTTAATTTTTTTCGCGTAAGCACCTGTCCTGTACCAAATCGATTACTAAAGTGGTAATTCACTTTTACTACGACAATGTCTTATAGCAGGATTAAAACCGAGAATCATGGCCTTAAGATGTATTACTGTGGCCCCATCAACTTATCACTTCATCGGATTCAACTTGGCTTTCATTTCATCGGATTCAAGGTGGGTGCTTGGCTTTCATTTCGTAGCAAGAGTGGTTTGATCGCTGTGTGACACAAGTCCTATTTAATGCGTCTTTCTTCTAAATATTTTTGTTCGGTTAAACAGAAATTATCTATTAAGTTTTTATTTTTAATTATTTTAACAAAAAAAATAAAATAATTAATAATTTCTATCTAATGGAAAAAAAACGCATACTTTCAGTCAGTGACTTCCACTTGCCAACTTTGGAGTGGGGGACCGAACCACCTAAACAGTCATCTCAAAACCTCAACCATTTAATGCCTGAAGCGTGCGAAAACGTAGATTCTGCATTCTCAGTTGATAGAGAAATACTCGAAAACAACGCCCCATAGATAAAGGTGACGTGAGAGATACATAACATGGTCACCAACTTGGCTGCAGAGCATTGTTTCCGAGGAGTTGCTTACGGCGTAATTAGCAGGCACTGGGCAGTGCAGCGGCTCCCCAACCAGCAGGCAGCGGCAACAAGGCGTAGCACATTGAATGTTTGGTAATTTCTATATATTTATCAAGGATTAACTTACCATCCCCAGAACGACCAGTCAGGGAAAACGATGTCCAGCGTCATGTCGTCGCCACAATAATGAAACAGAGCTGGCGGCGCCGTCGCGTTCGGCCCCTGATAATCGCTTTTCCTGATGATGGGGTGGTCGTCGCAGTTGAACATGATATCCAGATCGGGCAACTTCCCTGGGTACCTCCTCATAAGCTGTACAATTCCCCACAGCGTAAATACGTCTCTGGTCTGAAATGCGCCGCTGTACTTATCGTAGTAAAGCCTCCCGTCCACCACCACCAACCTGAAGTTTGCTCTCTTTCTTTCTCTTTCAACCATCTCTCTCGTGATCCCTGTCTCCTTCCACGGCCGCAAATCCTCGTGGATCCAACGGAAGTAATGCGGGCATGTTGCAGCGGTTGTTCTTCTAGCAGCAGTGGAAGACGAATTGTCGCCTCTTGAAAACGTTGCCGGGAAGCTTGTGGAGCATATCTGACTCAGGTTAGCTACGGAGCAGTTGAATGGAAACTCAAGTTCCTCGCTTTCTGACTCCTCTGGGGTGTCGGAGGAGGAAGTAAAAATTGCTTTCAGAGACGCACTGCCGCTTGTAATGACAGACTGCATCATTGAATAATAATCCATTTAACCTCTCATGATCTAATCCATATTACTGTGATAAATAATTAAGCATATCAATTTACTAAGGGACCGTTTGTTTATTTTACAGGAATAGGGAGGAGTCTTGAATCGGAATTGGAATGGTCGAATTGTTTGGTTGAGTGGAATTGGAATTCGACCGATTTCCATTCTAGGTGGAATGGCCATTCCCTCCCTCTCCCTTGGGACTTGGGAGTGAAAATCCATTTCAGCCAATTTCGATTCCATTTAAACCAAACGGGTGGGGAATAGATAATTCCGATCCTGATTCTGATGATTCTGACTGCTAACCAAACGAACCCTACACCAGCCTTATCACCCAATTACCAAAATGTCCATTCCCCATATGTTAATTTCATAATAAATGTATAGGGCATTTTGGTTAAAATAAATTGGCAAAGGAAAGGATAGAATTTTAGTAAAACCACCGCGTTTCTCTCTCGCTCCATCCGTTGGCATCTTTTCTTCCTCCCAAGTCACAATCGTGTGGGAATGGGAGCCTCTCCACTCCACACTCCTCCAGTTCCAGTAGTCTATTCTATTCCATCATGTTCATCTTTAACAAACAACAAATGAATACGTGGCTCATGGGCTTCGTTAAAAGTCCACAATCCAGGCCCACCAATTCCATCTCCAATTGCTGGTTTGATCGAATCGATTTTTTGGATTCTGGACTTCTGAACGCCATTGCTGACTTCTCGAATTCAAACGACGTAATAGAATTTAGAAAAATGTTCTCTGTTATATTTTCTCTGAACACAGAAATTCCGGGTGGGTGTTAAAGATAGAAATGACTTACAGTGTCGATCCAACGAACAGAAAAGAAGGCGCCAAGGAAGAGGACGATAAAGAAGAAAACCATGGTTCTCGAAGTTCCCTTCTCTAGTAGGAATGGCCGACATCTCGTCTCCTCTGAAAAGTGCCTCTGGAGTCCAGACCCTTCCCATAGGGTGTTCATCCATGTCTGCACCCTCTCTATCATTTCAGTTCCTTCTTCACTCCTGATAACTCAATTTTTTATCTCCTTTTCTATTTTCCCTTAAAACCCAAAAACATCACTCAAACAAGATTTTCTTTTTTTTTTTTTTTTGTAGCTATCCAGACTCAGCTACCTGGGGGCTCCAATTCCAATTCTCCAACTTTGTGGTTCAATTCCAATGTCAGAAAAGCTAATAACCCAACACACAGTATTTTTTTCTATTTATTTTTTACCAGTTTAAGTACAAAATTACTTTTCCTCTCTTTGCCCCACTCCAAAAGTCTCCCTTGCTTTAAAACTACGTCGATCTAAACTCCAAATCTAGGAATCTTAATTTTCTGGCTGCTTCCTTGATATTGGCTTCTACTTCCAACACAACTCCTCCAGTCAGGTACCTAAATATAACATAACAAGCAAATTAAAAGAGAAAGACTGTAAGATATGAATAGGAAGACATGAATATATAAAGATCAAAGTACAGGGCATGTATGTCTGTTTCTACATGAGATGAGAGAGACAGAGAGAGAGAGAATTGATGGTGAACCTGAACTCGTCTTATAAATTTTCATAGAGAGTGAGGCTCGTGAACATGGGGCTTTTCTCTTCTTGTTTTATTAATTATGATCGAAAACCAAAGAAAGAAGAAAACGTTACCTAGTTTCTAATTCCATAGTATTATTTCTCGGCTTCGTTGGTTACTCATGCCTCCAACTCTCTCTCTCTCTCTCTTTCCTTTTTTTCTGATCTACTAGCTAGTCACCCCGATCACTCTCTCTTGGTGTGGAGCGCCAATGATTCATTATCAAATGAGAAAGAGCTTAACAGATAAATCGAACAGTACCTGGACTTGGTTGACACCCCAAGCCTCTCAAAAGAAAGTTTAAAGAAGCTAGATAAGATTACCTGAACGTAGGTGGTTACAGATAGAAATAAGAAAAAATCTTAAGCTTTAATTTTGAGATGTCTTACCTCTGAATACAGCGATAAAACCACTCTTCAGACTGCGGAGCACCGATACTAAAGATATGCATATGGATGGATGTGTGTCAATATATCATCTCATCTTGGAGACACCAACTGGGGCTCGCTCTGAATCTGAAGAAATAATTTACCAAAACATGGATGAAGCAGGAAAAAAAATCCAAGCAAAGTGTTGAAAACCTGAAGAACTGATAATTGTAGATGAATGAGACTAAAAGACGAAGACCCATCGCAAAGGGTCTTATTATATCGTTAAACACGTTATCTTGGATAAAACAAAGGCCAAAGGTGTAAAGACATTTCTGATTGGAGCACGTCTAATATTCGGTAATTAAATATTTACAGAATTAGACAGTGGAAATAGGGTTCAAATACTAACATGGTACTTGACTACTACTCAGCGTTTTTTGCTTCAAAAACCAAAATAGCCATCCCATCATCATCAGTAATTAGTTTTGAACTCAAATAATAGATGAAGAATCACCATAGAAATTCCTATATATGAGGCATATTTCTCTCGGTCAAGTTTGTTTGGGTGAGGGTTTCATTGAATATTCAAGTGTCAGTATGTAGCAACAAGTCAACAACCCAATCAGGCATGAGGCCACCTCACGGTCAAACCCACCTCTCTTCGAAACCCAAAACTGGGACTCCACTAGGAACTAGCCAACTAGGAAGAAGTCCAATAGCCCATTAGCCCATTCCCATTTCATATTTTGTCTATCACATGAGATATCTTGTTCACTTTTTATTAGAAAATGTTGAAAACGACCTATTATTGAAAAGTTTGCCACAAGTATATATGCTGTTACTTGTTTATTCAGAAAATATAAAAAGAAAAAAATAAAGGAAAGTTAAATTACCAAAACCCACAGATATTTTGATTTCAACAAGTATGGGAATAATAAAATAAGGGATATTAATTGCATGCTTTTAATCTATCTATCCATATAGAAGCTTTATGCTTGTATATAAATGTATGTATATTTCTTTATTTATCCTCCACTTCGAAGGCAAAACATATAGAGTTAACATGAATTTCTACCATAGATTTATACTTTGGACTAACGTCACTAACCATAGGCTGGCTCAAGTCACATGTATAATCTGAGTTTCAATTAAAAATAAAATAAAAAGGAAACATCAGGATCAGATTAGTTGTTATTCAATATAATACATGGAGAAAATAAACTTGATGATGTGATCTGGGGTGTTCACCCTTGATTGCTGGTTTCGTAGCGCCTTGTACACGTATTTGTTTGTACTTCATCGGTTCATTCAAACTCTGATTTTAGTGGCTTTTGACTTTAGAAACCACGTGGAATCAAACTATTCCATCTCAGTTTCTTTATGATTCAGCGAGTAAAGATTACTAGGATTCATTATGGAAAATTAATTAATAAATGGTGCATTTCACTAAGCACTAGCAGCCTCTATTTTTCAAACCTAGCTCCCATATTTTAATTAGAATTTTTTTTTTTTTTTTTGACATGCCCTGTCTTCTCCAAATCACCTTCTTACGAACAGAAAGCACTCAAATAAAACAAAAATATCTTGAAGTTCAGCTGATAGCTGCTATACAATTATATTACTGCAAATGTCCTTTTTCAATTGGCCAATGTTTAATTCAAATTCTTTTTTCTTTTTAAAATCTTGCGTCTAGATAAGCTTCTGATTTGGTGTTTTTAAAGCCCAAAGCACAGCTAAAGTGTTTTGACTTTACATTTTAATATCTAGAGAGTTTCACTCCCCACATTTCGTCAATGTTCAAGCTTTTGAATTCCAATACTAATATTATTATTTTTTTTTTCTCTCCTACCTCTATTCTTCATAAACTCAACTGAGATTTGGGTTTGTAAGCCAAAACACAAAACACAGAAGCTGTGTTTGGCAATAACAACTATCTTAGCGTGTCCATCACTTTTTGCCTCATGGAATGTGTATCTATACTTCTATTCTCATATTTCTTTCTTAAAATTTAGTGTTTATTTGAATAAATACTTATTTTAGGCTGGGACCACACCATTAAGCATTTATTTATGTTTGGGAAATATGCACGAAATAAATGTTTATTTTGAGAATTAGCACTTATAAGGCCCTGTTTGATTTCATTAGTAAGAAATACTTATTTTTATAAGTATCTAAAAAAAGTGCTGGACCGGGACCACACATTAAGTGGAAAAAAACACTTATACCTGTTTGATAAATAAGTTAGGTATAAGTGCTTATTTTCAAAAAAAGCACTTAACTAAGTAAGTTCAAGGTTGCTTTTTTTAACAAGTGCTTCAAGAAAAAAATAATCTGGGGCAGTCCAGTCCCTTAAAAAAATTTATAATGCCCAAACTACCCTTGCAAATAGAGAACACCCTTGTCTTCTCCAAGATACCAGAGGGTGACCAACGGCGACTTTGAACACAAAAAATTGACCATTAATACTTTGAAACGTCGACAATGCAAATGATGTTTACTTGTTGGACATTAGAATTTAGAACCACCATCGCATCCAAAAGCGACGACGTATCCCTCCCTTCACGGCATTACTATTAAACATGAATTTAGGTCTGGACCCTGGAACTTTTAAGGTACGTGGTTAAAGAAAATAAGGAATAAAGAAATTACTTGGAAATTTTGTATGAGAAAAATTTAGGGTACCTCTCTCTCTCTCTCTCTCTCTAAGCTTTCAAATGCTCCATCTCCCTCGTTGTCTGAAATCTCTGGAATGCCCCATCTCCCTTGCCGTCATGAAATCTCCTGTAAGCCTATGCATCAATATTACCTAGAAAAGAATATCAACATCAACAACTAAATTGCATCAAACTAATGGATAGATGAGATGGGTAATGTTCTCGAGAGGCCCTTTGATCCTCATTTTCTATTGGTGAAAAAGGGATTGATTGCATGAAGTGGGCTAATCTGGTTGGCAAAGAAGGAGGGATGTTCTCTTTGTTGTTTTATTCATGGAGGGAGATGGCATCCATTGCTGGTGCCCGGGAAAAACGAGAGAGCAGGAGAGATGATAAAACAAGGAGGGAGGGAGAGATATATGTAGCGGTAGATAGTGGATGCTTTTTGGCTTCTTTTTGGAGGAGAAATTGAAGTTTCGTTTTTTATAATTTTCATTTTTAATTTCACAGAGGGAGAACGGGAGTATTCTCTGTTCTAATTTTTGAAACCTCAATCATAAAGTTATAATGGAGAGAGGGGGGGAACAGATGGGAATAAAGGACACACTCATGAGGGGGAATTTCTATTTTGAAAAAGAGAAAAAGATTGTCGCAGCCATTTTTAGGTGCTACCAATTCAGGTATTCGAAAATCCTGACTTAAGACTATTGATTGGTCCTTTGTCTTCTGCTTCAATGTTGCAATCATTTGGTTGTTTCAGCGACAGCAATAGTAGAGGGTGAATGAAACCCTAAAACGATGGGAACCCATTTGCTGAAATCCTGATTTAAGCATTTGTAAGTCATCAGTGGCGCTCTGGTTTGTGCAAAACCTACTGTAACAAATAACATTTCTCTACTTTTGGCACTATTGAGCCATTTCTAGATGCTGGATCGGTCGTAAATAATGCTGATGCATAAGCTTACCGGAGATTTCATAATGTCAAGGGAGATGGGGCATTTGAAAGCTCAGAGAGAGAGAGAGAGAAAAGTGGGGTATGAGGGAGCGTGACTTTTGAAGTTAGGGAGAGAACGAGTTCGAAGGGTAAAGAAACAGCATCACTTGACTCCTAGAGAGAGAGAACTACAAAAGGGTAAATTGGGTATTTGGAAAATATGGATGCATTGGTCTAACGTTTTTTGTCTGGGTCATTGATAGAAGGGAGGTTTTTGTCAACTTCTTTAAAAGTTCAAGGGAGGTTTTTATTAAAGTAAAACTAAAGAGTAGCTTTTTACAGAAACTTTAGGGGAGGTTTTTATATTTTACCCTATTTTTAAGTGTAAATTGCTGAAACCTCCCCTAAAGTTTTTATCATTCTTAAAACCTCCCTTGAAGTTGGTAATTGCAGTAACCTCCCTTAAATTTTATGACATAATTGCAAGTTGATCCCCTTTGCAAGAATCTTCTAACAAGAGGCATTCAAATATCCAAAATATCCATGCAATTACTATTAAATGTCTGAAATACCCATATAGTTACTATTGAGGCTAGTTTATGTAGAAAGAACAATACAAATTTTATAAACAACAACAAAAAAAAAGAGAATTTAAAGTTGCAGCTTTAGCTTTGAGTGATTGATATGAAGGGCATATTTGAAAAATTAAATCAATTTCAGAAAAGACATTGGAAGGATTTGGGCTAGCGATTTATATGATGATAAAATTTGAAAACTAAACATTTTGAGCAAAAGTGAATTCATGATTATTTTGGGCATTTTTCATGCCTCTTTTTAGAGGGTTCTAACAAAGGGGGTCTGTACACATGCAAATTTTCAAGCCAAATAAGTGGGTTTAATTTACATGGTAGCCCTCTCAAGTTAATATGGGCCTCTACGATCCCAAGGCCCAAGTCTACATAAATATGACTTAACTGTCCAAGGATCCAAGTGTACAAAGTCCAATATGGCGCATGCTCTATTGTAATAAGGTGGTTCCATTGACAAGACCACTAATTCCTACATAATGGTGCATGTATTGGAGTTAACCCTAACCCAACACCCCACTCACATGGGATTAGTTAGCAAAGTGGGCTAAGGTGACAACTCTAATCCTTGGCTATAAATAGCCTTGTCTAAGAAGAAAGAGATCCCTTTTTCAACACTCACATTGTAAGAAGCTCTCACACACCAACACTTAAGGATTGTAAGTAACCACAAGCTCCTACAAACTCTAGCAACTTCAAGATCAAGAAAGAGTAAAGAAGGGAAAAGCTTCTTAGTTCTCTACAATACACTTGAATTTAAGCTCTCCAAAGAAGATCAAGCCACTATAAAAGGGTTTTTCTTAGAGAAGCATCCTTCACAACCAATCAAGCGTGAAGCCTGGAGTGAAGAAATCTAAATTAACTCTTCAGAAGCACTAAATTCAAGGAAATCTACATCAACACTTCAAGAAGTACGAGAAATGCGCCGACGGCCCTCGTCTTCACCAAATTCGATCGTTAGTCAAAAGTTGCACATGTCATCGAGCAAAAATCAAAGAGAGTTCAAATCCCTTGTATCTTTCTTTATTACAAATTTATTTTTGTAATTTGTCTCTATATTTTGTGTTAATAAAATACATGAAATTTGTGTCGACAAGGTTTATTTACAACTGTGTCAGAAAGTTCAGGGGAAGTGATTTCAATTATCAAACTTCTTAAGAGGTTTCAACAACAACTAGAAACTTTAGGGGAAGTCTAATTAATTTACCCTATTTTTAATAACATTCAAGGGGTGTTCTTTTTTCGGATTTTGAGGGGGGAAGTTGGTCAATGGGATTTTGGTTCCCATTGACCAAGAATCCCATGTTCATTTTTCATATTAATGTGGGAACCAAGGAAAGTTTGTGGGTAAATAACTTTCCCACGTAGGAGGAAAGTTGCTAACACTTGAATGGGACAAAAATGCCCCTTTTAATAATGAATTTTTATGACTAAAATGGTCATTACCTTGTTTACCTGAAAAACAAAAGAACATGGGTAAATCATAAATGCACTTACTCAAATAAGTGTTTCCCAGGAAAAACTTACCTAGGTAATTGCATTTATCCGGGTAAATAACTTACCAAAAAGCGAACGGGGCCTCAATTCAAGGTGAGAACCACTACACATGTAGGACTTACACATAATCAAGCTGCCTTCTTTTTCAACATTTAAAAACTTCCTTTACTTTTTTTATAGGGGTGGTTTCTAGCCAAGTCGAGCTGAATATCTGACTATTCGAGCTCAGCTAGCTAATAGACTATCAGGCTCAAGCTCGAGTCAAAAGCTCGAAAGCTCAACAGTGAATTAACTGTTTTATAAAAATAAAATATACATATAAAATTATTTTTTTATTTGACATATAAAAAATTAATTATATTATTATATGTAAAAATTAAAATTTTATGTATATAATATTTTTATATTTATTATTTTTATATGTATATATATATATGTGTGTGTGTGTGTGTGTGTAAAAACTTGATTAGACTCGCGAATCTCACAAGTCAAGCTTTATTAGGGTCAAACCTTGGTTTAGACCAAATCGAACCGAACTTGAATAGATCGTGAAAAGCTCAACTCGTGGTCACCCCTACTTTTTTAGACCAAAAGACAAAAAAAAAAAAATTGCCCAAACGTCTGTTTTGAATACTTTTTGAGCCATGTTTGAGAGCAGAGCTTTTAAAGTAGCTTGAGCAAGAGGCCGCAAAACCCAGGAGAGGCTTGTAGAAACATATCAACATATTCATGTACGACGCTCACCGCAAAATGCCCTAATATTACTATTACCTTATTCTTATACATAACTAATCAGTTCAGCTCTATATTAAACATACATTTATAGAGATGGATATACAAGAAACAAAGCTATCATAGAAGGGAGAAAAGGCCCTCCAGAGTCTATAGGTGTTAATTAGACTCCCAGGATTTAGCTTCCCACGTTTCCACTTGCTTTATTGAATCTTGTTTTTCCCTTTGGAAAGCTTGAAGAGTCGCAGGATCAAAGGGTGGTGGCAGGGCACACGGGCCTGTTTCTTTAGGAGCCTTCACCATTGATTCCATCATAAATTTCCTTTGTAATCCATTTGCAGGGCAAGCCATTGTCTCTGAACACAACTGAATGGCATTTGGAGGCACAGTTGGCCTATATTTCAAGAGCTTAGCATATTCGTTCAATAAATGGAACATGTAGTCATACACAAAATCCATCTTTAGTTCCTCTTGTATAAAGCTGCTAGCTGCCTCTCCAATGGCCTGTGCCTGGTCATTCCATGGAAAATAATAGTTTATGGAGATTTTGCTATAGAGAGATCTAGAGAGAGAGAGAGAGAGAGGGGGAGGGAGGGAGAGTACCTCTTGTGTATGATTGTTGCCCCAGTCAACTGCAAACTTTATAGATCTACATTTATCATTGCCCCTTATCGGCCAGTAGTGTCGGCCAGGTACTAAACTTCTTGTGAAGAAGTCATAGAAATTAGGCCTCACTAGCAGAGTGGGAGAATTGCAGGCTAGAATGTATTTCTCGCTAACTGACCAAGCCCATCCTTCTATGTAGATCTTATACCTACATATATATGCCATTTAGGAGCCTAGGATCTACAGGGGGTGAACTTGAACTTGAGAAGAGAAGAAATGAAAATTATGTAAAAAATTGTAACAAGTCCATGATAATATATACCTGTGGGTGCATTGTTGTTCTAAGTTTGATTCCTTGTAACCTTGTTGAGATTCTCTGTTCCAATCCTGTAAATGGTAGTTATTACTAACCATTCATATTGTACTAAAGTCTTAATGCTCCATCTGTAATTAGTGGAGTATAGCATGATGGATTAACTGTAAATTATACAAAGTGGCCATTATCAAATGTTATCCCTAACCATCTCGAGCTATTTGGAGAGGTAGACTCACTAGATAGTAAATACAGACTTAAGGGCCTGTTTGGTTCGTGAGAATAGGGGTTTGGAATCGGAATTAGAATGGGTTATTTCGATTTCAACTGTTTGGTTAGGCGGAATCAAAATCCTATTCCTATACTTGCTGGAATGGCATTCCCTCATTTGAGGGAATGGCCATTCTCTGCCCCTTCCTTGAGAATGAAATCTCATTCCTGTTGATTCTAATTCTCATTCCCATTCTTGACTGAACCAAACAGATTATGAGAATGGATCATTCCGATTCCAATTCCATAGGATTTCGATTCCGATTCCAACTGCAAATCAAACTGAACTAAGTTTTAGTATAATTTTCGCATAAAATAACTGCTTTCAAACTTAAGCGATAGTAATAATAACGGTAATAGTAACTGTAAACTATATGTCTACTATGGACAATATCAGCTACGGTAGTAACGAAGGAGCAATGACAAGAAAACAAAGAGAAACTTTTACTTGGATGTAGAGACGAGCATTCCAATCCTGTTCTTGAGAGACATTGCATTTGAGTAGGTCTCGCCTGGTTGGGGCCACATATGGATTCCCTTTCCAGTATGCATATGGTTCCCTCTCTTTCCATTTGGTCATCTCATTTCCTTTTTTCAGCTCTTTCAACAAAGATTCCCATGGCTTTATGTTGATCTCTGCCCTGCTCAAACAAACAACAGTGGGATATATATGGTTAGAATCCAGAGCATCTGATAACTAGGCATCAGCCTTACATTACTCTAATTTGAATTAGGGTAAATTACATCCCACTAGGGTGTCAATGGACTGGGTTTAGGTTGGATCCGTTCAAATTAAAATCAATTTATTGGATGGTATTATAAGATTTATTGAATTGGATCAATTCAAATTTAATGGTCCAAAATATTTATTTGATTCGATTGAACCTGGTCCATCTGTAATAGATTTATATTAGACTAGGTCAGATTAAATCAATAACTTGTTCATTGATAGAAGATACTAGTACGGGTGTCAATAGATCAGGTCTGGATTAGAGCCAATCTAAATTAAAACCAATTTAAACATATTAGACACACCATATAAATTGAATTTGACCAATCCAGAATGGTCCAAAGTATTCATCAGATTGGATTTGACTCATATTGATCTGGTTGGCTTGGACCAATATTCAGTCCATTAACAATTTACAACTTTTGGAGGTACTGTACTAGTGCAAATAAAATTACACTGCAACCAAACACAACCTCAAGAAAAGAAAATTTTTTGGTTATATCCAAAAAGTAAATAACAGTAACAGTTGTCTAACCTATCAAAAGTTTTCTTGGTATAGTAAGGAACAAAGTTTCCCAATGTATCGGCCCCCATGTTACCGATACTTTGAATAAGGGGTTTTGGAGTTGACAAAACTGACCATTTGTCAAATTTAAAAAAAGAAAACTAAAAAAAGTTATGTGCAGTCAAAACATCTGATACCATCCATGTTCATACAAGGTTTTAAAAACCAACCCAAAAACGGTAAATTTTCTCACACTTGTCTCGTAAATACCCTAATTTATCCTTGAAATGATTCAAAGCAAATTTATAAGACTGCAATTAGAATATTTATGGATCTGATTTATGACAAAAGTTATAATATCTAAAAAACTTATAACTACTAATGATAACCAAAGTTGATATTCAATATAGAGAAAACATTTCTTACAACTATGCTTGAATTTAACCCCTAATTACATGAATATAAATCAAACATGGTATGTTCAGATTTTATTGAGGGGTCTTTGGGTTGTTTTGCGTCTGTGGTCATAGGAAATATGATTTTATATCTATATAATCATATATTTTCTTTTTTCAAGTGGGGGTGGTATTAAGGTATTAGACTATTAGGTGATGTACTTGAATAGTAAGATTTTTATTATTATCTAACATGTTGGGTGAGGTCTCTCACTTTTATTCACTTCCCCATCTAACACGGATATAAATTTTCCCTATCCCTACGTGTAAGACACCATCGCCCTGCATTGGAAAGATCACTCTATGAATGACAAGACAAGAGGCTTGTAATGTCTTGATGATAGAGACGTTGAAAAGCTACTCCATAATAGATCCAAATTCCTTTTATGAATAGGGATATACTACCAACAAAATGCTCCCAACATTATACTATTTGGGCATTGTAACCGCACATTAGGCTGCCTTGGAAAATGATGCAAATCCTAGTTCTGGGTAAATTTGCATTTTGCCTGTATTTATTAAACATTACATTTATGCATTTACAAATGACAGGCCAAGGTATATTTATATTGATAATAAACATCAATAAAAAATAAGTAAATTTGTATTCAAATAAGTTTTTAATAAAAAAAAACATATACTTTATTAGAATTTATTTTTTCATCCATTACAGCTAAAAATGTATTTGGTAAGAAGTCAGTAAAAAATTAACCTAATTTTGGAATTTATATGACCCCTTTTCGACTACACATTTCATCATTTGAAGATCTATTCATGACAATGTTTCCAATGTGCAGCTGCGGCGACCATTTGGAACAAATTGAGAGTATGATTGGTAAGAAATCTGAACTCCCCTTTATGTTGTGATTGTCTGATTGGAGATTGAATCAGCTGTCCACAGAGCATGCCCCACAAGTGCCCTACTATCCATCCCCTCCCATCTCCAGTGCTTGTGATGTGATGGAGCATGGAAAGGATGGGCGATAGGGAGACCGGATCTGCTTCTGCTCCTCACACAGGGCGCCTCACACGCACATCCTCTCATTTGGAGAGCATGTTTCCAATGCACGTTAGATGTGCCTGTGAGGCGCCCATGTGTGAGGAGTAGATCCGTTCTGTGAGCAGCCGATCCTGGAGGGAGGATTTGATTGGTCAAAACTCTTATGGTATCATAGGTTTCGCGCATCAAAAATTAAAGCATGTTTTGGAATGTTGTTATGTTATGCGTGTGGGCCGCAGAGGCTGAGACTGAGTGAGAGGGAGGGAGGAAATTACGTACCATCCCCAAAAGGACCAATCAGGGAAAACAATGTCCAAGGTCCAGTCGTCCCCGCAATAACGAAACAAGGGCGGTGGGGCAGCGTTGGGTCCCCGATGATCCCGCGATCTGATTAGCGGCCGGTCATCGCAGTCGAACATGAGGTCCAAGTCCGGCATTCTGCCTGGGTACCTTCTCAGTAGCTGTAGAATCCCCCACAACGTAAATACGTCTCTCGTCTGAATGGCCTTCCTGTATTTCTCTACGTACGCCGTGCCATTTACCACCACCAGCCTAAATTTCGCACTCCTTCCCGCTCCCTCCACCATCTCCCTCGTGATTCCGGTATCCTTCCACGGTCGCAGATCTTCGTGAATCCAACGGAAATAATCTGGGCATACCGGAGCGGCTGATGAGTTCTCATACTTCCCGGATTCGTATGTAGACGGATAACCCGCCGGACAAGTTCGTGTCAGATTCCCGGCTGTGCAATTGAGTGGGAGTTCAATTCTTCTCTTCGGCTTACGAAGAACTTTGAACAGATTTGCTGGCTTCGAATCTGCCGTGATAGACTGCACAGAAAGTAATTAAGAAAATAGTATCTAAAGATTCTGATCTGTTCCCATAAATATGAATATGATCCTAGTGACAGGTCATAGCAAACAAATTAACAACCCAGAGTAGCGATTAGGGACCTACAGTCACATGCGTGATGCATGGTTTCTACTTAGGGATTTCTGGTTTCTTCTTCCAAGTCTGCCGACAGCCGGCGTGATAGTATGCAAAACTGTGGAACAGAAAGAAGAGACGGTTTCTCACGTTTCAACAGTCAACTTTTTTACGCGGAGAAACCTATCAGCTCTTCTATTCAAATTCAATGGTCTAGCCTTTCATATGCTGACGAGTGACGACCACAACAAGGACAGTGAAAAAAGAAAAAAGGAAAAAAAAAAAAAAAAAAAACAATGGAGGAAGAAAGAAAACAGATTTTGTCGAGCAATGACGAAGAAATATGAATTCGTTTGCATTTCGTTCAAGGTTATGGTGAAACTTACAGCGTCAATCCAGTAAGCAGAAACGAAAACCGCACAGAGGAAGAGAACGAAGAAGAAGAGCACATTATTCCTTCTTTCAGGTCCCTTCCATGAGAGTTGCCTATAGAATCCACAACCGCCCTTGAATAATATACTCCCAAGTTTCTGCACGTTTTCTCTCATATTTTCCCAATCTGGATCACTCTAAAAGGAAGAGTTTCTTGATGAGAATTCTCCAAGCTTCACTGCTTTCAGTCCTCCAGTCTCTGTTTGCTAGAACCACATATATCAGTTTGATTATATCTGGAATTTGGAAACAATGGAGTTTATAGCGTCCCCGTAACGATTGGTGAAGAATGACAAAGACATAAAGACAGGGCGAGAAACCAAACCGAACCAACTTCTCAGTACCGGGTTGACTTCATAAAGGCCAAAAAGAAAATCGTTATCTGCACTTGTCATGGTGATTAATTATATGAACAGAAAACCAGAGATCAGTTTCGACACTTTAGAATCTTTGAAGATCTCTTCTTACCTAGGATTTTAGCGGCCGAAACTTTCTCGATTTCTGAGGATCAGTAGAATATACCCAGCTCTATACGAGGAAACCAAAGGAATGATTTAAATAAATCTACTGGAGATTTAGAGAGATTCGCAGTACCGTTCGATGCGCGGGGAAAGAGTGAATATAGACGAAGAACAGAATAGTTGGTTTTTGAAGGTGCGGGCTTGCTTGCTGGTAAAGTGTTTTGCTGCCTCTATGTTGTATCAATTTACGGCTTCATTTGAGGATTTCGTAGCGTGGAGCCCTTAACAGTCCCTTCTACTTGTTGTTCATCTTCTAATTCTTAATTTTGTTAAACGTGGACTATACGTGAATACTGGTGCTACCTAGAACTGTCCAACAGTTTCAATTTCAACGTGGAAAGCTTACATTCTAAGTGGTCAAAGCAAATGAAGACATTAATAAAAAAAGGTAAATTGTTGAAACTTCCTTTCCGGTTTTGTAAAGTTGCTAAAACCTCCCCTAAAGTCTGATAATTGTTATCACCTCTCCTAAAGTTTCTGACACATTTGTAAGCAGAGCCCTTTATTACAATCTTCTAAAAATAAGTAAGAAAATATCCAAAATACTCATATAGTTACTATTGAAACTGGTTCTATTAAAACTAAAGAAAGAGAATTTAAAGTTAAGTTGCAGCTTTACTTTTAAGTGATTGATATAAAGGGCAAACTTAAAAAATAAATCAATCAAAAGGATTTAGGGTAGAGAACTTGAAAAATAAACATTTTGATCAAAGTAACTGTATGAATATTTTAATCATTTTAACAGAAAGGATTTACTAACAACTATGTTAAAAAATTTAGGGGGTGATTGCAATTACTAAACTTCGGTTATGTTTTAGCAATCTACCCTAAAAAAATAAATGAAGATTGATGTACGCTAATTCAAAAAGAAATTGAGAAACCCGATTTGGACCATGGTATTTGCCAGTTGGCTTTGGCTGATCACCTCATGTTTTAGAACAAGAAGTCAACACACATAATATATAGCTATTAAATAGAAATATAGGCCCAGTCCAGGAATGGAAGAAGTAAGTAACACTTCCGTCCGCTTTCATGGCGTAAGACTTTGTGTTTAAAACTTGAAATTGAATAGTTTAATGGGTTCTCTCTCCAGTCTGTACATGTTTCCTACACTGCACATGTCAATACAGAGTAGTGCTATTCACAAAGAATGTCAAACCGATCAAACCCATCAAATCGACCCAACTCAACCCAATATATTCGGTTTATTGATGCTGTCGGTCGATTTTGGATTGATAGAATGTACAATCCGACCGACCAAATACATACTAATATTTGTTTTCTCATACAAATTGTAATATTTGACTTCTGACTATTTGAGGGCTATAGAGTGAAATTTGATACCTATTACACAATATGATTTACCATGACAGTTCAATCGATTCTTAGAGTTTATTTGTTTTCTCTTAACTCTTATTTTTTTAGAAGAATCTTTTAATTTTAAGAGATAAATGGTTGTTCGTTTCTTTTTATCTCTTATCTCTTAAAGTGCAATCATACAATTTTTTGTTTTTCAATGATACCTCTAAAAAGACAAACAAAAACTCTCATAATGGGGTTAAAATGGATAGTTGATAATTTTTCAGAATTCAGAACAACATTCTCTACATTCAGAGTTCAAAGAAAAGAAAAGTTCACCAATACCAATATACTTCTTAATGTAATTATTGCACTTTCAAATGTCAGACTCCAGAGCAAACAAACAGGCCCTTAGTTTTTTATCGAACTCTTCCCCATTTGGTCTTTTTCTCTTTATAGCTTCTCTTCGGTCATTTCATTTCTCATCACTCTGCATACTTCTATTTCCAATGTAAAAAGAAAATAAATTGAAAATATCCACTTCATTTATTCACTAAACTCAGGCTTTTATTTGAGGGGGAGATTTTGTCAATCTCCACCTACTATTCTAGTGACATTACTTTAACTAAGGCTGAGATTCAAGATGCATGAAGGTGATTGTTTCCAACCAGATGACAATGGAGTTTGTTTCTTGAAGTGGGCTTTCAAAGTTGAAAAGGGCAAAGGATTTCATCTCCCAAAGGAGCAGAAGAGATTCACCTACACTCTTGTAGAGTTGTAACTACTAATTTCTATTATGTTCAATTTTTTTGAAACATTTGTGTTGGTTTTCATCGACTTACCGAGACATGGGTATTGGTAGTGTTCGGCTAGTATCTAAGCTGGCTGAGGATGCCACATGGTTGGATTTGTGGCCATCTTCCTAGGACAATGTTAGCATCAAACCGTGTGATGAAAGAGCGTGATCGAGAGGAGTGTTTCACATGGACAAGGAAGGAAACTCTGTTGAGGAAACATGCCAGGGATCGACCCCAAGGTCCCATCGGCTCAACACCGACCCGCATTACCAACCCATAAGGCAAAAGAAGAGGAGTTTCGTCTCTGAATGGTGCCAGGTGATCAACGATGAAGTACAAAAGCTACTAGACACCAACTTCATCCAAGAAATGTCCTACTTGGACTGGCTGGTGAACGTCGTGATGGTAAAGAAGACCAATGAAAAGTGGAGAATATGCATTGACTTCACCAACCTAAATCGAGCTTACCCGAAGGATAGTTTCCTTCTGCTGACGATTGACCAACTCACCAATGCAATGGCGAGGCATGAATTCCTAAGCTTCATGGATGCATTTTTCGGATACAATCAGATTAAGATGCACCTAGATGACTAGGAGAAGACCACCTTCATCACGAACCAAGGACTCTATTGTTACAAGGTCCCTTCGGGTTGAAGAACGCCGATGCCACATCTTTAGAGAATAGCTCAGTTGTAATGTGGATGCGTACATAGACAACATGCTGGTGAAGAGCAAGAAAGTAGAATAATAACTAGACAACCTGAAGGAAGTCTTCAGCCTCCTTAGGAAGTACCGCATGAAGTTGAATCTGACGAAATGTGCCTTCGGCATCGGTTTCGACAAGTTCCTGTGTTGTATGGTCACACAAGGGGAATTGAAGCAAATCTAGAAAAGATCCAAGACATCCTAGATGCAGTCGTCGTAGACACAAAAAGAAGTGCAACGCTTCATAGGTTAGCTAGGCGCATTGATCAAGTTCATATCAAAGTCCGCAAACCGCTGCCTGTCGTTCTTTAAGGCACTCAAGAAGGTAAAAAGACTTCTAGTGGACCGAGGAATGTGAACAGTCCTTCTAGGCATTGAAGTGATACCTGAGCTCACCGCCCTTGCTAATGGAGTCGAACCCCGACAACAGACTCCTACTATACTTGTCCACCGAGGATGAAGTGGTCAGTTAGGTTCTAGTAAAGGAAGAAGGCCAAACCCAAAGGTCGATCTACTACACTAGAAAGGTCCTCATAGACGCAGAGATGTGGTACTTGAATGTTGAAAAGGTCGCTTGGCCCTCTTCACCTATTTTCAGGCACACAACGTCCGGGTATTGACCGACCAGCCATAGAAGCAAGTAATGTAAAGGCCGAACACACCAGGGCGCCTAATCAAGTGGAGTGTAGAGCTGAGCGAGTTCGACATCGACTATGCACCTCGGACCACCATCAAAAGCTCAAGCCCTAGCCAACTTCTTGGCCAAGTGCATATTCTCAGTCCAGGACCCAACTGAAGACCCCCTAGCTTGGACCCTCCATGTCAATGGATCACCCACCCGACAAGGGAATAATACTAGTTTCATACTCCTCGGACTGGACTCCACCATTCTCAAGCACACATAGAGGTTTGAGTTCAAAGCATCGAACAATGAAGCAAACTACGAGGCCCTAATAGCCGGGCTTTAACTCGCACTAGACATCAGAGCAAAGAGAGTGAAAGACTTCAGTGACTCAGCTCGTGGTCAACCAAGTCATTGGACAGTTAGAGGCACAGGAACCCACCATGGCCAGCTATTTTAGAGAGTACATGAACTCGTCGGATAGTTCGAGCATTTCACTATACAGTAAATCTCCAGAGCCAAGAACGTTCAAGTCGACGCCTTATCAAAGATTGCGAACTCACCACAGGCCGACCTCGACACTACAGTCAAGTGGATAACTTGGCACAACCTAGCATCTCGAAAGCAGCAAGAGACATCGTGGATGGATCTGATTGTGTAGTACCTACTAGGTGGAACCTTACCCAAAGACCGAACCAAAGCGAAGAGACTAGCCTATAGATCAGTCTAGTACTATCTCATCCGAGGACAACGCTATTACAGGTCGCACACTCTCCCCTACCTGAGGTGAACCCCCCAAAGTGAAGTTGATTACATCCTAAGGGAGATACACAAAGGTATCTACAAAGTCTATCCCGGTGCATGGACCCTAGCGCACAAGGAACTTCGGAAAAGTTACTTCTAGGCCACCATGAAGCAAGATGCAACTTAGCTCATCCAGAGGTGTGACCGTTGCCAAAGACACTCCAACTTGCACCACTAGTCGATAGCCTCTCTCAGGCCGATTCCTATCTCATAGGCCTTTTCTCAGTGAGGTCTAGATATCCTTGGGGACTTCCCTACCACGGATTGCCAGAAGAAATTCCTCCTTGTCATTGTAGACTACACTAAATTGGTCGAAGCTGAGCCCCCAACGAGCATCACAACATAGAACGCCCAAGGCTTCCTCTGGAGGAATGTCATCTGCCACTTTGGTATACCCAAGGTACTCATCATTGACAACGAGTCACAATTCATTGATAGGAAGTTGAGGCCTTCTACGCTAGGCTTAGGATTGACTATCGCACAACGGCAATTCATTGACTCCAAAGCAATGGATAGATAGATGTGACTAACCAAATCCTGCTCCACGGTCTAAAGACAAGGATTGACAAGGCCAAAGGCAGGTGGGTGGAAGAGTTGTTGAGAATCCTCTAAGGCTATAGAATGACGACAAAAACAACTACTGAAGAAACCCAATTCTATCTAACATTTGGAGTTGAGGTAGTGATCCTCATAGAGATTTGATTCCTCACACTTCGAATCGAGCTCTACAATGACGAGGCGAATACCGAAGATCTAAGAGCTGAGCTGAACTTAGTGAAAGAAGCTAGAAACTGAGCACATGTTAGGATGGTGACACAACAACAAAAGATGGCCAAGTACTATGATGCCAAAGTTCATCTTTGGGATTTCAAGACAGGTGACCTCGTCCTCCGCAAATTCTTCATGCCCAAGCTCGAAGAGGGAAAGCTCAGTCTGAATTGGGAAGGCCCGTACA